GGAGTAGGAGGAGTAGGAGGAGTAGTAGTAGTAGTAGTAGCAGTAGCAGTAGCAGTAGCAGTAGCAGTAGCAGTAGCAGTAGCAGTAGTAGTAGTAGTAGTAGTAGTACTACTACTACTACTACTGGTCTACAGCTGCGATGTTCACGGCCGCGCTGGTTGTGATGATGATGAGGACTCAGATCATGATGGTGGCGGTGGGTGATGAGGGTCATGCCAAGATCCGATCGACGCCTTAGTATTTTCACCTGCTGAGCCAAAGAGCTCCTTCCCCAGAACGGCCGCCAAGGGCGCACCTTCACTGCAGTCGTCGAACGAAGGTTCACCAGGGCTTAAGGGGGTTGAGGCTCAAGGAGGCCGAAGACCAAGTAGTACCAAGTGGTAAAGCGCCGGCGGGGAGCCTACAGCCTGCAGGCGGTGACAGGAAGGTGTCTCAGCCAGAATATCAAGCCGCGAATTTAACCTTATGATTCAGCTGTCGACGCTCTTCCAGGACTCTCTGACCAACCCTGGTTCAAGACCACTGCACTGTATGCCAAGTCCCACGACCGACTCGCGCCTTCGATTGTCTCGCACTGCCCAGTGAAGCACCGGAATGCCGTGAACATCGACCTCGGTAGCTGATTCAGGTGCTCTTTTGCGGCCTGCGGTGCCGCAGGACGTGGCAGGTGTACTTTACCGCGCTTCACCTTTTTCCATAGCTCTGTTTTTGAACACTGAGGCTGAACTCCACTCGAGCAGATAGCTGCGACTGAAGCGAGAGCTACCACAGTGTCTCCAGCTTTGCTAAGACGTTGTCGAGCTGCTTCTTTGCAAGCGCCTTGGTCTTCTTGTCTTTAAAGTAGCCACGCCAGCCCTTGTAAAGGTTCACTTGCTCCACCAGGCGAAGTCCTTCCCTCCAAAGATCCAAGAGCTTCATAAAATGCCCCAGATCACTGTTGCATCGGCCAGCATCTGTGGCTGACTCCATCCTGTAAGGACAATCTGGCGCACTCCAAACATACGACTCGGACTGGAAAGTGTATTTGGCGACGAAGGTTTCGATCCTCGTGATCAGCTCTCCGGCGTCAGCGTATTCGTAGAGGTCGAACAAGGTCTTGTGCACTCCCGGACAACTCTCAAGCTGCAGGGCAAGCCTGCAATGCTTCACATAACGGCCCGTGTGGAAGGCATCAGACGGTCCATATGCACCGGTGTAGGTTATGTCTTGAAGGATCCTCTCTGCCTCTTGACGGAAAGCGCGGCTTTGGATTTTGAGGCTCCCAGTATTCTTCGTGACGCAACACTGAGTCCACTTGGACTCATGGCCAGATTCGTGTGCCTGCAACACCGTGTTTGCATGCTCACCTTCTTGTGCCTGTCGCAGGGCGGAGAGGAGCACAGGGATCAGGGCACACAATAGGATGCGACCTGCTGACGACATGGCGATGGAGTTGACAGAGAAGCAGGAGATGTTTGATTTGAAATGCTTGAAAGGCTGCAAAAACTGCGACAAGCGTGTCTGGGTACCGACTGGCCTGCCCCCGCTTTCTGACTCACTAAGCTGCTGAAGAGGGTTTCGTTCCTCGAGGATATCTTGCTGTCGCAATACGGCCAGGATTGCCAGGATCGCCAGCACAGCATGCCGGTTGCCGGTGCAGCAATTAAACATCACTTGCCCCCTCCCTCGTAGCCAGGTTGCACGGGCAAGTTCTCGAAGAGGGCATGCAGCTCGTAGTCTTTCCTGAGGAAAGTTCGCTTTCGCATTGCTGGGGGCACATGTCGGAGGCTCCCAAGGCTCGAAAAAAAGAGAGAGCGAATCCTTGTGTCAGGACTGACGTGAGCAACCCAGTATTTGCCCATAATCCCACCGTTTCGTTCCGGACACGTTGCGATTCGAGAATATCATCACGGCCCAGTGTATATGTCGCCAGCCCGGCAAGGACCTGGGCATCCAGTTTCGAACCTAAGTCCTGTCAACATCGCAGAACCTCCTATTCACCGGTCACTGATCCACGAGATCATGAGTGGATGGATCAGCACTAGACCCTCCACCTCGAATCTTGCAAATGGGCATCAACAACCAAGCAGCATATAACACCACGAACAGCAGGACGAACGCCATCAGCAACGTTTGCATGCTGCCAACGAGTCCTTACTGCTGTTTGGCAGTCAATTAGATTGGCTCACGGACCTTGTGCTGCGGGAGTTTTTGTTGTTAATATTCATGAGGGCCTCGGATTTTCTGGGTATGGCTAATTGACTGGTATGGTGTCGTGGGGTGCTGAAGAAATAGGTTTGCTCGGATGCTGCAATCGGGTTCAGCACGATGTAGCATAGCTTGATACCTCAAGCTGTAAATTCCAGACCAGGCCGTGGGGCACGTGAAAGGGTCAGGGCCCGGCTTGTTGTGATTAGGGAATGTGAAGAGCCCAGCAGGACTGTAAGACTAGGACTGTGGCTTTCCGGATTCATGACAGGGGCGAAAACAGCTTTGCGTCCGGTCTCTGTAGCCGCTCGTGCAGGCTTTCGCAAACTTACGCAAGCTCACCCGTCGCAGTTCTAGGCAACGTATTGTAACACAATAGTCTGCACTGCTTCGTACCTCGCACTCTCAGTCTAGGTACTCTTTCACTGAACACTTGACACCGACGATCTTTTTAAGCTTTTGGGTACTCCCAACTCTGCCCTGCATTCCGACTTGCGCGAAGACAACCACGAGAAATACTCAGTCCCTCGAACACTGCTAGCTTCCGTGGGTATAATGTGGCATGCCCACGGAGTTTGCACAACTTCCTGCGTACTACGTCGTCGTCAATGCCGACAGAGAAGCCTTTGAGCATCAAGCGGAGCTCTTTCATCCAGTGGAGACCTTGCAGTGCTGATTGATCCTTCTCGGCACAGATATTGCTATTGCTGCGACTCAACGGCAGCATGTCTGGTAGTGGACTGATCGGCTTTGCTCGTCCGGGGCACGGAAGACCTTAACTATCCGCGTCAGCCGCACCAGCCGCACAAAGCGGAGCAGAGTCGTGAAGAACATTGCCTGCGTTCGCCAACTGCAGAAGAAACAGCAAGGCTTAGTAAGGGTCTGAGGGCCTTCAACTAGCCTACTGACACAGTGCATCGCCGATAAGCGATTCACATCTCAGAGAAACTCAGAACTCGGGTGGACTGTGAGACATCTGCGAGCGGAGCGGCCCCGGAGTCTACTCGGAGGAGCTCCAACCTCGGACGAGGCATTAGTCATGCTGAGCTCAACCCCCACCGTCTTGCTTGTGTCATAAATCTGCTGAAAGCCAAGCTCATGCAAGTTTACCCTGATGGTTCACTTGCCTCCTTTATTCCTGGATTGCTGTTTGTAATCGAGATTGCAGTTTCTGAGATGTTGTCGATGCCTGCATCGACATGAGGGTCTGTGAAGGTTTGGGGTTGGTCGGTTGGCATTGGCATTGATGTCATGTGGCCTAAAACTGCATTCTGCTAGCTCAGCAGGCTTAGCACACATAAGCACTGAAGCAGTGGCAATCTTTGTTACGATCGCAGCACCATCGGCATCTTGAATAGCCCAGCCCGCGCTCCACAGAGTTGCAAGTGCGTACCCCCTTTGCGAACAAGAATAACAGGCGTACTCCTTACTCGCTCAACGCTTCAACGCTAGAGCTCGTGCACGAGCTTTCAAAAGCGAAAACGGTTTCCAACCACTAGCAGGCCCAAGCAGTTGAGTGACCACGATTTGCGGCACGCGGGGGCGGAAGTTTTACACGTTGCATTGCTTGACCAAGCGTGGGTGGGCCTACTAGCCAACCTGCAAGATGCACAAGATAAATGCCAATGTGCAACTCGCAGAGATTAAGCCCAAACACAATCGACCCAATGGGAAACACACCTTGAACAGCTCCACACTCGACGCATCGTACGGCCATCACGTCGCACACACATCAACAATGACAGAACGCATCGAAGCTACCACTCAAATCAAGCCCTATTGTAATGGAAGATACTCGACGATATCGGACCAACTCAAGCTTTGATGCTGGAACCCGGAAGATTGAAAGCTGGAACTCCTTCCCTTGGGTGCACCACCCACGATGCCTGTTTATGCTTAGCACTCAGGAACTCAGGATGGAACAGTAGATCTGTCAAGGCGGTGCCGATGAAGCCGATGTCACACCAGTTCCATACCCTGAGATAGGCTCGTAACAGTCATGGAACTCGAGGGACCTGCACGAGGACTATCTGAAGCCGGTTTTCCACCCAAAAGGCCTGAACATGTTTGCTGTGATCTGGTACAGCTGAGGCATTGCATCTTCGATTTGTTAGTAGCTGCGCCTTCTAGAATGCTCGACTTGCAAAGCGAGCGGCCTCTCCACGCCGCAGAAATAGTTTCTGCAGCCACCTACCTTGGCACCGGGGCACGCTCGCGATGTCGGGTTTGAAAGACCGGGCATGATCTTCAGTGAGTTGATGGGACCCGAGCAACAAACGCCCATGAGCGACGACAACATCTTGGCTGAGCGGGCCAGGAGCAGCAACAGCTCCGAAATCCAAGCCGTCAACCCGCCATTGTGCAGCTCGAGGCACAAAATTCCGCAGGCAGCACTCCAGGATCAGAACCAAGGCAAAGCCCTCAGACACGCCCAGTGCCAGCACGATGAGGAAGTCTAGATTGCTTGACAGTCACTTCGGGAACAACTTTTTGGAGTCGTTGGACTTTGCAAAAGATCTTGCAGGACATCCTCGAACGAGACTTCTCGAAATAATGGGACGGGTTGCTTGAGGTGCTCTTGCGAATCAGCCAGCTGACTTGCAGGGCAGCCGTGCGCTCTTATCTATGAGGGTTGAGCCAGTCTTGGACCAACAGCAAGCTTCTTCAATCACCTGGGTCCGGGATGGTCCCAGAGAACCTTCGTCATGCCGTTGACAGAACTTGACGGTCAAGGCTGCTCGACAGCAAAATTGAAGACACCGTTTCTGAGCTTTTGGTTTTGTCAGACTTCGACGTGGCATGAAATAGAAGTTCTGAACACTCATCTGAAGCAAGCTTTTAAATGATTCCGCAGGCATAGTGGCTCTTGCAGATATAATTGATATAATGTATGGGCTGTAGCTCGAATCTGAGAGCAAAAACCAGGACATGCGCCCTCATGTAGCCACAACTTTCCTGTCGACATGTCTGCGGAAAGTCAAATCTAGCCCTACGAGCACCATTTGCGTTTCCCAAAGAAGGTTGGACACACATTATAGGCACGAGAGCTACAGTCAGTGTCGCCCTTGGGTAGCTATGCATGTATTTTTTTGTTTGCTACTGCTCCCGAAACTGGGGGCACATGTCGCACAGCACTGGGTTCGACTGCCGCATCCCGGAGAGCATGCCAAGGCTATTGCCAAACGAAGAAAGCCATGTTGCTATGGACAACACCTGTGCAACCAAGCCACCACCTCGAACCAAAACCAACCTGGCCAGTCTTGATAGTCATCTGAACTTTGGAAGCCGATCCTCAGCAAAGGACTCAGGCTCGTTGAGGTGTATACGGCTTCTTGCCGGGGCTACTAGGGCATGATTTCAAGCTGTGGGATCGCAGCCTCGAAATTCTCACGATTTGTGAGAAGAATGTCGGTTGTCAAGGGGTCTGCCAGACGGTCAAAAACAGAGCCGTCCCTCTGGAAACTCGACGTGCAAACCGCCCGCGGCGCCCACCGGCGATGTGTTGGAGACCACTCTGCTGAATCAGCCGAAGCACATGACTCCATTCGCCAGGATCGTCAAGGCGACGACGGGCTCCAGGTAGAGCAAGACCTCCGTGGTCTTCAGGCGCAACCCAAAGCATGAGATTCTGGGTCGTGCCCAACATGACTGAACATGCATCTCATGCGTCTTGCTTCACGAGACCCATGCAAGGGCAAGCCTATGCTGGATAGCTGTCATGAGGTGAACCTTCATGATGTCTACCATTGTGAATCTTGGCGTAGTTGTTACTGACTGTTGCTGATGGCAGTGGCGCGAAGGGGGAGGGGGCAGTGGTGAGGCTGCTGATGCTTGAAATCTTACATGCTGCATGCCGAAGCGCATCGATCTTGTCTGGTGGCGCCGCAAGGTCGTTGATGCGTACCTTGCGTGAGTTGAGAACTTCGGGCCTGCAACTGAATGTCTAGGTCAGACCCACCTAGGCACCAGCAGCAGGATGCAAACTCTTTTGCGAATGCTCGCTCAGTCGACGTCGCGGTATCGAAGCAAAGCTCTGAAGCCTGAAACGCGACAGCTGTGGCCATCCAAGCTGCGAAAGTCAGCTCTGCCACCAAACGATTTGCATCACCGGCCAGCAGAATCTCTTTCACAGCCTTTGGTGAACGGCTGGGAGGTTGGCTTGACGACGCGTGCTGGTCGACTGTCATTCCCATTCTCACACATGTGTTTGCAAAGGCAAGATGTCCAGAACAAACGACTTTGCTTGGATAGCGCCAGTCGGCTCATGTCGCTTGCGAGTTGAGGGAAATTGTCAACGAGATACTTGTGGTTTTGGCTTCTGGGGCAACAAGAGTTGCAAGTGTGCTGTCCTTGAGTCCGGGTGCTGTGGCTTCACAGCTCTACGTGCAGCACATGCGACAGCATAATCTAGCCGTGACGCCTGAAACTGTTGAAACACGCGCGGCAAAGGGAAGATCCGCTTCGCGACCTGCATCGAATAATGTGACAGGACTCACGAGTGATAAATCCGGCATTCCATGCTACTATGCCCGGCATGCACAGCTTTCAGCTAGCTTTCAGCTGAAATCAATGCTTGCACATGTCACAAGCCGTATGCTCAACTGCCATGCGTGTCTGGTGCTTCCTCATACCCCCAGCCACACATAGGCCCGAAAAAGGGCCTCGCTCTCTTCCATGTGAAAGGCCAGTACCAGCGCTTTGAACCTCACATCTTCCATAGTCAACCCGTTGAATACTCATGGTAGTTGTTAGCCGCGCTGTGCACGAAGAACCTCCCTGCCAACGCGGTTCTTGTTAACGACTGTTGCAGCTCGGACACTTTTGGGTGGGGCTCCTTTTGGGCACCTGCTCGCAGCTTGCCCTGGTGCAACCGGGCTCTGAAGGCGGCGAACACTTCTTCGAAGCTACCTGGCCAACTGCGCCAGCTGGCCTCGCTGATGTGGGCGAAAGTAGCTGGATTGTGGAGAAGGCCATCAAGCGCCAGAAGATGGAGTATGTGACCTATAACCGGCCCGGTCCCAAGTCCGGGATGAGAAGATGGACCACACCGGCCACTTCTCATGGTGTGAGGGCACCCACCACAGCACACGTCATCCTACGCCGTGCTGAAGCAGAGTCCAGTGTTTTCTGGGAGGCGGTGCCATTCACGACATCTTGTGCTGTCTTGCCATGTACGAGGACCTCAACTGGGTAGCCGAATCCACAGCCCCACAGGGACGCTGTGGCAACATCTGTGCTCATGCCTGGCCTTTGATGTGCTGCGAGGGAGTGTCCGTGGTAGGTTTTCGCTCCCCGACTTCTATTCCAGTGGCCTCAACCTACCCATTTACATGGGGATGGCCTACGCTTGGCATTTGGACCCAGTGTTAGCATTCGTGATTGTCGGATTGGGCTATGAGGCAACTCGCGCAACGCGAAGCGTCCCTGTGGCGTCAGCCCGGTGTTCTGCTGCTGAACCTCTGCTGAGGTTGTGGTGTGAGCACAGACTGACATGTTGGTGACTTTACTGCCAGTGCAGAGGTGGTGCCGCGGCGACCACTACAAGCTGCACTGGTTTGGATTGCATGACAGTGGTGAGCGGGCTTAGGTTTGCAGGCTACGTGTAGTGGAACCTATTCCGCACATGAACCCTGCGTTCCAAAAGTGCCGCTTCGCTGTTCGCAAAGCCGTGCGATCGGCCGGGATAATGGAATGTGGGTAGAAGAAGAAAAAGCAGTAGCAGCAGCAGCAGCAGGAGGAGGAGTAGCAGTAGCAGCAGCAGCAGCGGCAGCGGTAGTGGTAGCAGTAGTCGTTGTCGTCGTTGTGGTAGTAGTCGTCATAGCAGTAGCAGTAGTAGTAGTAGTAGTAGTAGTAGCAATAGTTATACTTGCTGTTGTAGCAGCAGCAGTCGCAGTCGCAGTAGCAGTAGCGGTAGCAGGAGTAGTAGTAACAATAATGACACGGCCATGCGTTTAGAGTTTGCATCAGGGATTATTGGTCTGGGTTTAGGATGTGGTATATGTATAATATACGTATACATGTGTACATGAATGTATATATATATAAGTACATAACTTAGTCACATATACATACATGTATGTATTTATGTATGTATGTATGTATGTATGTATGCATGTATGTATGTATGTATGTATGTATGTACGTACGTAGGTACGTATGTATGTATGTATGTATGTATGTATGTATGTATGCATTTAAGTGTGTATGTATGCATTTAAGTGTGTATGTATGTATGTATGTATGTATGTATGTATGTATGTATGTACGTATGTAATGTATGTAATGTATGTAATGTATGTAATGTATGTAATCTAGGTAATGTATGTAATGTATGTAACGTATGTGATGTATGTAATGTATGTAATGTATGTAATGTATGTAAGGTATGTAATGCATGCAATGTATGTAATGTATGTAATGTATGTAATGTGTGTAATGTATGTAATGCATGTAATGCATGTCCTGTATGTCATGTATGTCATGTATGACACGTATGTCATGTATGTCATGTATGCCATGTAATGTAATGTAATATCATGTAATGTCATGAAGTGTCATGTCATGTCATCCAATGTAATGTAATGCAATCTAATGTAATGTAATGTAATGTAATCTCATGTAATGTAATGTAATGTAATGTAATGTAACGTAGTGTAATGTAATGGAGTGTAATGTAATGTAATGTAATTTAATGTAATGTAATGTAATGTAATGTAATGTAATGTATGTATATATATATATGTGCTGTACATATTCACAAGTATCTGGCCAGAGCCGAAGGTCGGGCGCATCCCTCTTTACCCAAATGCTCACAGGAGCCTACAGCGAACCCCTACATGCGCAGGCAGAATCCTGGCAAAAGGACTGGCGAAGGGTTTAGGGTTTAGGGTCTGGGGTATCGCATCGTGGGAGAGGGTTGAAGTTCATACCTCGTATGGCTCTCGACGTGCCGCATTGAGAAAAATCTTCAGAATTGCAAGCCGAACAGAAAAGCCACTAAACCCTAAACCCCAAACCCATCCGACGAGTAGCAGCTACTGTATGTGGAGAGAGAAGTTGGGTTGCCGGGGGCCCGGGGCTAGTGACTGCAAAGCGGGCTTGCGCAGGGTTCTTCCTGCTCCGCACGCTCCTGCAAGGCAGGGGCTTTTGCCCTCAGTCAGTGTCTTCCTCCAAGCTTCCCGTCTTTGCTGGAAAAACCATTCTCGCCGTCGGCCTGAGATGCAGGAACAGCGCGGTCGAACGGGTTTCAACTACAGCTAAATGGGTACGGTGCAGGAACCATACCCTAAACCCTAAACCCTAAACCATAACTACTATTTCTTCTTTGCTTCCTTCTTTAAACACTTGTAGCTCTCCAAACCAGGGTCCCTTTTCAGGTCCCCAATATAGCACGGCGCTCTTATGCAAGGAACCCTAAAAGGGACCGTAATTTAGAAAACTACCCACTTACATTTTCGTGAAGGATGTCCGTGTCCGAAGACCTGGAGTCGTTTGAGGGCCTCCTATTAAAGGAACCCCGAAAGGCCTTGTAGAGTAACCCTCAAAGGAACCTTATGGTATCCCCTTAAAAGGAAGCCTTCTCAAAGAGGGGCCACCATAAGCAGAAAATCCGGTTTTGGGCGGCGGCGGAAGGGGGATATCATGCTACAATATTGACAACTGATTACTCAGGCAACTGCTATGTTTGAGAAGCTTCTAAATGCAAACCTGTACAGTGAAGGTAAGCACAACAACCGTAGTTCTGAGGGCGGCATGCCCTCTCCATGCCAATCAGTGAATTGAAAAGAGGCGCTGAGATGGGGTCCGTCTATGCCCAAGACCTGAAACCTCAAACTCTAAGCCCCAAACCCCAAGCCCTAAACCCTGAAACCGAACTTGAAACCGTTCCACACTTCAATTGAAGCCCTTCAGCTGCAGCTGCTCATGCTTAGAGCAGCAATGGGAGAACAGCTTCCGGTTTCAGAGTCTTTAAAGCTTATATTGTTTAAGCCACCTTGAACGGAAGTCTCTAAACCCTACACCGTAGCACATTGTCTGCTTGGCACGGGCGCGCCTCGTGCTGGGCACGGTGGGCTTCATGGTGCTGGTACTCGTAGCCGCTTGTCTGGATGGGTATGGAAATATTGATGAATTACCGGCTGCTCCAGTTTGCGAGTTTCGGCTTCAGGGCAGTGTTGGCGAAGGTGCACGTGGCCTTTGTTTTTTTCTTCCTGGGTCCTAGCGGATTTCTGCTAGCACAGGAGCCTTAACAAGTTGCTTTCAGCTCGCCGAAAAGCCTGAACCTAGCCGAAGAGTAGTTCATGGCAAGCCGCGGCGACTGATAAATCGACACAGCTGGTCTACAAACTCAACCGACTAAGCATACGGACACCGAACCATGAGTCCAGGCGTGTAAACCGTCTCACTGAGAAGGTCAGCTTTTGGCTCTGAAGATAGACTTTTAAACAAAAAACAACAGCCCTGCTACCTGCCATCGGCATCTTTTGACATAATACGGCATGTGATAACATAATTTCGATTCCATGTCTTGTATCTTCCCTAGCCCCTTAACCTTAAATCTCGTAAACCCTACCTGTTTAGGGTTCCTTGTTTTGACTTCCTTATGTAAATCCTGAAAGAGGTAGTGATTTTCCTTACTTAGAGAATATACTTTAAGTTATAGGGGGGCTTAAGCAAAATGGTTAAAGGTATCCGTAAACCCACGAAGTTGAGTTTGTAACCTGAAAGCCTATGGGGGGCAAACCCTACCTTACCTTACTTTTGTGTCGGGCCCCTATAGAAATTCCATATGAGGGTTTATACTAAGACTTACTAAGAACGTATGAGAATGAGGTGTTGGCAGGTTCAGGTAAACCCGTAAACCCTAAACCCTTAACCCTAAAACCCTAAACCCTAATCCCTAAAACCCTAAAACCCTAAAACCCTAAACCCCTAAACCGCAAACCCCGAACAGGAGCCTGGAACTCGTGGCTCCGTCCGTGCTCCGCGACTTTTTGGTCGACCACCTGAAAAGGGGGGGAGGTCGAGGGGTTCGAAAGGGTTCTAGGTTTAGGGCTTGGGTTTGGGTTTGGGGTTTAGGGTTTAGGGTTCTAGGTTTAGGGTTTCGGGAAAAGAGTTGTGGGGTTTGAGCTTGGGGGATTCGGGGCTTAGGATTCGTTTTTAAGGAGGGGTGCGGGGGAGGGGGGTTATGCTACATGAGCAGCTTGGGCAATGTTCCTTCAAGGGTCATTCTCTGGTTCGTGTTGCTTTGGATCAGTCAGAAGACAGTCCTCCCAACACTATATAGATACTATATAGATACTATATAGATACGATATAGATACTACTTGGATACTATATAGACTTAACGCTGCTTCCACAAACTTGAGAAGTCCTAAGGCTCCGAAACCTCGGCGCTGCAACTCTCCTCTCCTCTGAGCACGGCACCGAAACCTGGAGGAAAGGGTTTTAGAGTATGTTTTGCAAAAAAAAACGATTCTCTAAAATCCTTAACTTCAAGCATCCCAAACCCTAAGTTTCTTGCGCCATCCAAAAAATTTCAGGCACCTAAGCTGAGGCCGACGCCCCAGCCCTAAACCGCAAACCCTAAACCCCTTTAAGGCAGCCCTCTGCCCTCAAATCTCGAAGTCCATACTATAGATCCCTATTATGGTAACTTAAATTAGATTCCTTAACCCTAAACCTTAAACCGCAAACCCTAAACACTAAAAGGGAGCCTCGAGAAGCATGGACCTGGTGCAGACCGGTCTGCCATGGGTGGCGTCGCTGTACAGCACATGCCTGGCTGTTTTGGGGGCCTTTTGGGTTGAAACGGTTTAAGGCTTTAGGGTTTCAGGGTTTTAGGGTTTAGAGTTCAGGGTTTAGGGCTTTAGAGTTTTAGGGTTTTAGGGTTTAGGTTGTTAGGTTTTAAGGCTTTAGGTTTTAGGGTTTAGGGTTTGGGGGGCTTAGGGTTAAACACCGACTCGTACAGCTTCAACCCGAAAACCGCACAAGACTTTGGGATTGTGGAACTCAGTGTTTACGGTTCCGGGTAGATGACATCAGGCTTCTATGCAGATCATGCATGTTTGACTTTGGCCGTCACGCTACATGCCATTCCCACAATGCAACTCCTCTACTGTACTCCAGACCTCACCTCGATAATGATATAATGATATATATATATATACATATATATATATAACCTCGATAATGATATAATGATATACATATATATATAAACGATATAGTATCTATATAGT